GTTCTTTACATGAAGTGGAAGGTGGTGCATTAACTCTCTGCAGCCTAATGCTTAATTTGGACTGCCAGCTGTGGGCACGAGGTGCTAAAGTTTTCTATAAGAGCTTTTAATGTCTGCAGATGGTTTCTAGGATTGTGATGACTAAATTATAAAAATCATTAAAGATCAAGCCCGGAGGCACGTCAGGTACATTTAGACCATCTCCTAAAGTAGCTGTTATATTCATAAAGTCTTCATATAATACAGTCTTTCCAGGCAAATAGTTGCCTGTGTTCATGCAATATTTTCACCTAGTTTAAATCTTCTTCGCTGCAAGCAGCTGAAGTCTTTGAACTCTCCTTCCTAAACTGTATTTCCTAAAAGTTGTATTTTTCTTGGAGAAAGTCCAGATAAATCTTGGATCCTTGTCTTGGAGGTGTAATGTCCAAACTAGTTACAAGCTTCATTTTGCATGAGGAAAAATAAAGCATTAAATTAAAAATTAATCTCAGAAATGACACCACACTTTTTTCAGCAGTGTCACATCAGTGAGCCATTTAGTCTATAGTTCATTTTAATCCCCAGATCAAGTTTCAGTAGTTTCACAAGGCTTTGAATGCTTTCATCTGAATGTGGTTGGGTATCTGTAACTGTTCTATAGCATAGCTGTAAGTACGCTCACATCAGTTCCCTGGAAATGTGTTTAACCACACTTTCTCTTCTGTTTTTGTCATAAAGGGTGACTATAGCTTATGACCCTTCAGCAGCTGTGAACTAGAAACAGTCATGTAAATGGGGTATAAACACAAAAGATTCCTGTAACAGTTGCCTAATAAATGAGTAATTTTCCTTTCTGTTCTTTGTTAAACTTTTTACAGTAATGCTTTAAGTTTTTGTCAGATCTTAAATGAAAACTTTCTGCTCTGGAAAACAACTTCTGCCCTTTGAGTTCTTTACCTTAAGTACTGCATTTTAGTAGTTAGGCAGTTGAATTTGTACATCAGTAATTGCAAGTATTTTAATCTGCTTGCTGTTGCACTAAGAATTGTACAAATACTGGACAAAAACAAGTATTTGAGAACTTCGCAACTCTATTTGGTGTTGTGACCTATACGTTGAGAATCTAACAATAGTTTATCCACAAAATTCAGCAACCTCACATTGCATATTCAGAGGGGTCCGAATCCAGTTACTTCAGGTCTTGAGAAGAAAGAATAGCGCTGTTCCAGGAATTCGTATCGACTGAAATAAATATGTTGGTGGACGAACTGGATTAAAGAATGAAAGAGACAATAAATAGAGTCCCAAGTTAAGAAATAACCAGATGAGTTCCAGAGTCCTGTTTTGAAACATCTGTAATTGCTGAAAGTCTTAAGGGCTTGTTAACACTAATAACACTTTAAGCTTGTTACTGAAACTACTTCAAAAAAGGCATCAGTTATGAGTTTATGCAGTACAGAGGACAGGCTGTATAGCTAGCCAGTCCTTGTTTAGTCATACCAAATGTTGGAGAATTAATTCCTTCTCAGTTAATAGCTTTATTCATAAGCATCTTGTTGTTTTTTTCTGTTTCTATGGCTTGAAAAAAAAAATTGCATATATCCTGTGCATTACATAGGACTTCCCTGAAGCTAGTTCTGTGAACAAAAGTGTATTCCTAGAAAAACATTAGTTCTTGATTAGAAACTTTGTCCTGTGAAGGAAAAGGTGACCAATTGTGTAGTTTCATCAGTCAATTATTTTCACCATGGAACTACTGCCATTTATAGCTTTTGTCTATTAAACTTTGCCCTGTATTAAAGGTCTTCCTGTTTGTACTATTTCCCTATATTACCCTAGATATAGGGTAATAGATATTACCCTATTGGGTACCTATATATATACCCTATTGGGTACCTATATAGGGTAATAGATATTACCCTGTTGTATACATTCAGAGATCATGTCTGCCATTTTATTGCAGAAATACATACACTGCTATCAACTGTAATACACTGTTATCAACTGTAATTCCAAGTCTCTTTCAAACAAGATAAATCCTGGCTGCAATCCTTTGTGCTAGAATGCTTCTGTCTTTCATTCCCTGCTGTATATAACATTACACATTTCAAAACAATTAAATATATTGGGATGTTTTATGCCTAATTCACAAGCCAATTCATAATAAATGACACTTGCATTATTCTTGTTTTTCCATGACTTAGAAACATGGATAATAACTTCAGGCTTTTCAATTATAAACAAAGAGATGGAATAATTTTGGTATTGGAAAGTAATTTCTGGAAGCATGTATTAGATCTGTACCTCTGTTACCACTTCTAGATGTGTATGAATAATATCCGTACAAATACAGATACGCTTTAGGATCAAAAGTTCAGATAGAGCTTTTGATGCATTTAATATAGGTTGTTACCTTTTATCGTTCAGATTATTAGAATGTCATTGCTATAATAATATTGGAGTAGGATTCTGTGGGCTAAAAGTTGCCATTTTAGATCTCCTATGATTTTCTGCCTGGTGTCTCAGCTGCTTTTCTAAAAAGGAATCAATCTCCCATAGGCTCTTATAGTAATATTTGCCAGTCCTGTATAGATTTCTTGAGCCTTCTAGGGCATACAAGAAGGTAATAGCAATCAATCCGGGTGTAACTGAATCACATCCTATATGTATTGCGGAAAAGTAGCAGTGTTGTATTTATTGATTCAAGTGTTCTCAAATTGCAAAAGCTCACACTAAACTCACAATGGATTAGCATTAGTTATCCTCTTTTAATTGTGTTAAAGTTGCATATTTCCTCCCTTTCTGTCCTATCACCCAGTCAATTTTGAATAGATCCTACTGGTAAAGGCTAATTGGTAGAATCATAGAAATGTTAGTTGAAGGGACCTCGCAGTTGTGATGTGGTTTTTTTTTTAGGGGGAAATAGGTTGGTTTTAGGAGTGGGATTTTTTGTGGGTTTTTTTAAACTTTAAAACCTTTGGTGGTAGAAATTCCGCAGCCTTTCTGGATAACCTGCTGTGCTGTGTTATACTAATCACAAAAGAATTTCCTCTACCTCCCGAACTGTAATTTGTGGCTGTTATCCCTAGTTGCATGACCTGCCACTGTGAAGTGCTGTATAGTGCTTCCACTTATAGCTTATTTCTATCTGACAGGTGTTTCTAGTATGAAATATGGTATTAACTACTTGTTTTTACTTTTACTGTTTTGTATAACCTGCAGCCTCATTCCTATCCATTTAGCTAATTCTTCTAGTTTTATTTTTAGGGTTGGGTGGTTGTTTTTTTCCTTGGGAAACTAAAGAGGAGAAAAACAGTAGTCAGATTTTTTTTTCATTATTTTAATTCATATAGTGAATTTAGAGTTGAACTTCAGCACCATTATTTGTAATGCATTGTGTAAATAATGTGAAAAATGCTACAGCTGGATTTCAGATGAAAGAGCACCTAACATCAGTGTTCAGTATGGAGATACTGCTGTAAGCATTAGAGATGCATTGAATTCTGTGTGTCAGAATAGCTCCCTTCAGACAGAGTAAAAACTCTGAATAATCAAGCAACCTTCTTGAAAGATACTTTCCTTACTGTAAATTATACCATTTACCAAGCTGATTTCAATATATAGACACATGTCTAAAAATACTGCATCCGTAAAAATAGTATGTGCATGTGGAATAGGAAGAGAAAAAGAGCCTCATACATCTTAACAGCAATTGATGCCTATAGGATTGAAACCTCATTTTAGTAAAGGCTATTTGAAGGAATAACTGCAAACTGCAGAGTCTGTCAATGCCTTAGCAATACTAAGGAATGAGAGCGCTAAAGAGAGTGAGTATGTTGAAAAAACTATGACTAAAGTAGAAGCAAAATATAGAACTCATTGCTTTCAAGTCAGGTAGTTTCTATTCTAAAAAAAAAAACCAACAACAACAAAACAACCCACAAAACCCGATCAAAGCTATTGCAGGAAATAGTTAAAATGCTGCAACTTAGCTGCTTAAATCCATCAAATTTTATGGAGTCTCATGTAGAATTGCAAAGATGATGAACTCAATAGGACAGCATGTGTGCTCGTGCAGTCTTGTACTCACTATAAATTGTACTAGATGAGAGAGAGGAAAAAGACCTGTGTCTGTTAAGTATGTGAATGAAAGTATCAATTTGAAGCAAAGGAAAAAGCTCTAGTAAGATTAACAAAGATCTTCTAGGAGATCCCAGTGCTACCAGTTTATGGGGCTCTCAGTAAACTTCAGCTGGTGTAAAGAAGGTGGTTTAGTCACTTTTCAAGAATTATGGGTTTGAACTGGAACAGGTGCAGTGAGGAGATGCAGGCCGATCAGGGAATGGTGTATTTACTTCTTGAAATCTGTATTTTGAGGCTTGTTTGAGGGGTCCTAGAGTAATGGTTAAGAGAGGAATGTTTATTCAATATAAATGAATAAGTGGGTAAAGGAAAAATTGTCACCTCATTTAACAGATGATAAACCTGATACAATTTATCTGGAGAGTTCATATAGTCTTGAAGTTAAAAGGCTTCCAACAGTCAGAACAGTTGGTTTTCAGACCTGTAAAAATGTAACTTGTGTCAGATTGGAGCCTAAGTTTACAATGAGATGTAGGTAATTGCCTGCAGTGGAGTTGAACTGTATCTATGGTCTTTCAACAAGACTTTTTGAGACTTCCGCTTAGCAAGAGAAATCAACTCTGAAATTTCACCCTTGAAATGAAGTGACCTTTTATACTAAAAGGTAAGGAAGATGGTAAAAGAAAGCGAGATGCATATAATATGCATCTTATATGTAGCTTGTAGGATAACTGAACCGCTGTTAAAATGCATCTTGCCCTTTCTATGTAACTATAAATATGATAGGGGAATGCAGAATATATATTTTTAAAAAAATGAAAAACTTTAAACATGTTGTAAAGACGATTACGCTTTTATATATTAACATTTTGTGTTACGTAAACCAACCAAACCCCAAAATCCTTAACTTCGGTAACTTTTTTCCTTCCTTCCTTCAGATAACAGTGATCTAATTGCTTGTACAGTCATAACAAAGGATGGGGGTCAAGTTCAAAGATTCCTGGCTGTGGATATTTACCAGATGAGTTTGGTTGAGCCAGATGTTGCCAGACTTGGATGGGGAGTAGTTAAATTTGCAGGCCTTTTGCAGGTAAGAGAAGTTTTAATTTAGGTGGTTACTTTTTCTCAGCTGAAAATCTACATTTATGTTCAATAAATAGTAATATCAATATTAGCTGATCTATTTAAGTTCTATACCATGCTTACTTGTTTCTTCGGTTACTAGTCTTTTTTTCTAGTTCATGCCTTTTAAACTATTTCTGTTTTTTTGAAGAAGTTTGCATACCTAACTAGAGGCACACTTGAAAGTGAGGTAACCTCCTCAATAAATATTGGGATGTGTTTATTTGAGCACTGAAATTGTGTACAATTAGGATTCAGTCCCAAGCACTCTCCGTGAGTGGCACAGTAATGAACTCCTAGAGTTCTGATCTTCCTGCACTGATAGGGAAGGTGACAGGTTGTAACTTCAAAATTATCTGTGCTTATCTAACTTATTTCAAAAACTTTAACAAGTTTCTCTTATTTATGTCTCTTTCTTGCCATAGTCAACACTGTTTGTATTTCCTGAAAATTCACTATTCTCAAATAACTTAATTGAATTTTAAACTGACTTAATCTCTGAGTACCACTTTCCGAAGAACTAAATCCAAGGTTTTACAACTTGCATGGTCCTTTTTTTAGCACAGAAACTGTTTTTTTAGGAGCTTTAGTGAAGCATTCATTGGGTTTTTGTTTAATGTTATTTAATTTATAATTTAAAAATGCGAACTTTTTCATTAGCTACTTGCCTACTGTTTCTTTTTAGGATATGCAGGTGACGGGAGTAGAGGATGACAGTAGAGCTCTGAACATAATAATTCATAAGCCTGCTTCAAGTCCTCATTCCAAGCCCTTCCCTATACTTCAAGCTACGTTTATTTTTTCTGATCACATTCGCTGCATTATTGCAAAACAACGTCTTGCAAAAGGCCGTATCCAAGCTCGGCGTATGAAAATGCAGAGAATAGCAGGTAAACTTGTTTTGAAATGATTCCGAGAAACAAGATCTGTATGTCACAGCAAGTCACTCTCTAACATAAGGATGTCTTAGAAAAATCTAAGAAGTGGTGTGCCACAAAACGGTAAACCAGCGTTTAGTTTCCAAGCAATAGATTTTGTTGAGTAAAATATATGTTTTCATATTTAATGATAGGCGCATCAGAGAAAGGGTGAAAAAGAAGGAATCCTGTCTCATTGCTCATTGTTTCACAAAAAGCATTTCTCTTTAAATGTGATTCAATGATTCAAAATTGAAACGCCCTACTTGGAAAGCAGATTTTCTGCTGCTTTACAACAAAATTGGAGCTCAGCTTGCCGGAGTCCTGAGTTGGATGGTGTCCTGATGGTGTTGGTGATAGTGCTTAATGCTTGGATGTAGTGCTGATGAGTAATCCAAAACGTTAAGTGGAGTGTCAGCAGCTAGATTTTGTGCTTGGGGGAAGTGCGTGCTAAGAGATGAAGGAAAGAGTTAATTTGAGTAAATAGCAGGGAGTGATTAAAATATTACTTGAACATTAAGTGAGTGAAGAATAAATTGAAGCTTGTCAGTAAACTGGATGAATTGGCAAGTATAGAAAAGGAAGCTCTGAAACAGGAAGGAAAATAGGTACGCAAATGAAAAAGTACACTAGCTATCTCAGTTACTTGGCTTGTGAAAGACCAGTAATGAACTAGAGCGGTGAAAACCAGTCATAGCTGGTATTAAAACTATTGAGTTGACCAGAAAATTATTCTGATTATAGATGATTTAAGATTATTTTAGTGTTTTATGGTTCTGTGGGAAACTAACTAAAAAGAGTTTTGTGCTTTGAGTTTACTAAATAGATATGTCGTACTTTTATGGCTTGCTCCGTGTTAAAAAATTTAAAGCAAGTTTGAGGTTAATACAGGTCTATTCCAATATTAAAATTTTAAGTTGAATGGTAATGCATAGGCTTTTTTTTTTGCCAGTTTAAATCAGAATGTTTCTTCAAAGGGCTTTCTGCAGTGTTCAGTTATAACTAATGAATTACTTTATTTGCACAGGGAAAAACAGAAGTTGGAGCTTTTTAAATAACTCCTGTGGCTTGTTTAATGCAAGGAGCTTGCTGTAATCCTTTTTTTTTCTCCTCCACTGTATTCTGAGATTTTCATAGTGTGAATTTGGTGTGGACAGTAATGGTAGAAAAGATTACCAGAAATGTTGTCTCTCCTCTTTTCCAATGCAATTGCAACCATAATTAAGAGGTAAATGCAAGCAACTTATGTTAAATAATCTGGTTTAGTCTTAAGATACTGAGCAAGCTATCAATTTTATTTTCACCTACTCTTCCTTTTATGTATTTTCGAGTAACAAAAATTATCAATTGTGATTAAATGTAGCTCTCCTGGATCTTCCTGTTCAGCCTTCAAGTGAAGTTATGGGTTTTGGACACAGCTCTGCAGCTACAGCCCAACACCTTCCATTTAGATTTTATGATCAGTCACGACGTGGTAGCAGTGATCCTACAGTGCAACGCTCTGTTTTTGCATCTGTTGACAAAGTTCCGGGTAAGATTAGAATTCATTATCAAGCAATTTTACTTTGCGATTTGTATCTGCAAAAGCTGAACTGTAACTTGTATAAGCGAGGAACAGCTTACTGCGATATGTTTCCGAACACACAACTCTAGGATAAGGCTTATGGAAAAATTTACTCCCAGCAAAACAAAACAATACCTGGGTGTGTATTCCGGGTACGTTGTGAGCAAGACATCCATGGCAGTTTCTCCAAATACACTGAAATTGTCTAAATACTTTGCCTTACTTTATAAATTGAGTTATAAATCGTGTTTCACATCCTCAGTATTTATGCAGCGCATCCGTCAGTTGTGCGTAGTTCCTCCTTTAATTTGGTTATGATCATTTTCTTGCCAGTTTGTAAATAGCTGGGATGCTGTGCATTGCTTCGTTTACCTTAGAGCTAGAAAGACAAAAAAGGGCCACAGCTACTCCTAAAACACTAGCTTGGATTTGGGATTAAAGGAATAATTCTGAATCAATGAGCTTGTTGCTTTTTTATCTCCTTATTGTCAGTTTCACAAATTGACTTCTCTGCAGAGTTTTTTTCCAGATGGTGAACTTTTCTGTGTTTGGATTGAGTCATTTAAAGTTGAATCTCATACTGCTTGAAAGTACTTAATTTTGCTGTATTACAGAAAGATGGAATCTTGTCATCACTAGCTGCCACTCATTTCACAGAACTCAGCATTTCTCTTAAAATGTGATTCAGTGATTCAAAATTCCAATGCCCTACTTAGAAAGCAGATGTTCTACTGCCTTACGGCTAAACTGGAGCTCAGCTTGCCTGGGTCCTGAAATCATAAAAGCATTTATATTACTGGTCAGGTTTTTAAAAAGATAAGGGTATGTTGTATGATGGGAATGTATTTCCTTATTTGACCTGACTTCCATGGAAAAGGTGTGGTTGAAAATGTGCCAGTGTTACTGTTTCAGAATCAACCTCTGAGAAAAGTGTGCTTGTGTTCAAAACAAGTGACTTCGTCTACTAATTTTTTTTTTTTTTTTTTTTTTTTTTTTTTTGGTGGGAGGAGGGGGACATATTGGGGGTGATGCAACATGGTAGTTTGTTCAAACAACCACATACTTACTTGCAATTCCAGGAAATGGAGACTTCCATTGTATGCATATGCAAATCCAGAGGAAAAAGTATTTTGAAGCTTTTATTTGATTCCATGTATGAGAAACCAGACACAGAACAAGAAGTATTTCAAATTCAGAATTTTTGACATAATAAAAATGGATTAATATATTGCTTTACATCTGATTACAAAATAAATATCAAATTCCTGTTCTATCTCCCCCTGTCTTCACTAGAATGAATGATGTTTCCTAGTTCCAAGTATTTTCGTAGTAATCTGTTTGTGTTTATCCCTTAATCAGACTTGGAGTGATTTTTACTTTAAGAGAAAGATTTTGTACCTTTTAAAAAAATTATTGAACAAGTTGCAGTTAAATTACTCCCTTCATGTATTCATTTCTTAATGCTACAGCTTGAAGTGGTGTTTAAGAGTTCTGCAAAGCTCATATAGTCTGTGAGAAACCCAATAACAGAAAAATGTTAGTTTAATTGTACTGGTAAGAAACAAGTTACGCTTTCCCTTGGTGATGGTGGCTTTTATTATTCAGAGTGGAGCTATGTTTTTGGCAATATTTCTAGAAGATTAATCACTTTTTAGTAGGACCACATTAGCTGTTAGTGCTGTACATCTGTGGTTTTTAAGAAATTGGCAATGGCATAAATGTTTTCAGCAAATTTCACTCTGTGGAGAATTTTTAGTACAACCATTGAATCAATTCTCTAACCCCTCTTCTCAATGAATTTAGAATTTTCAGTAACACTTATTTCAGTCTGGTCTGATTCAGTTTCTATCGTAGTGCATACATTGCATACAATACATCTATTGTAGTCAAACTGTGCTTCACTTCGCTTTATTGTTTTATCGTCTAAAGTTAAAATCTGTTTTAGAAAGCGCTTGTTATCTAGGGGGAAGAGGGTGAGGGTTGTTTTACCTTAAAACCAGATTTTTGTGCAAGACAGGTGAAAGGTGACGAATATAACAGACCATGCTTCAGAACATCCCTATTAATACGCTTTATAAAAAGTACAAGGTGTGCAAACGCAGTGAGATGATGTAATCATCCCAGGTGACTCGCCTGATAAACTGGACGATTCTTATCAGAAAAGAACAGAAGCAAAATCCTTTATGTGATCAATTTTATCATCATAATGTCAAGACCATGAATATACTTCAGGGTCTATTTTTAGGTTAATGACCTTTGCCAGAATGTTGGAGCGTTTTAGGGATAGTTGAGTTGACTGGACTGTTCACCAGCTTATATATTAGCTATGTATTCATGTGATACTTTTGAAGTACTGCTCATGTAAATAAAGAATTCATTGTTTTCAAAGAAATGAGCAGATCTGGTAGGTGTCCTGTGAGCACAGGTCTTATATTGAAAGTAAATAAATAATCACTTCCTCTCCAAGTAATGTCAAATACTAGTTTCAAATACCATTATATGCTGAGATTTATGTGCTTTTAACAATTTCCTGCAAAATGTACATGTAAGTATTTTAACAAGTGCGATCGCTTTCCTACTGAGAAAATTTGTTTTGGAAAACGAAGTAAATCCATAGATCTCTTACCATTTTCTCCATTGTTAATACCTTAGTATATGATGATGATAATAAGATTTTGGGAGGAATAGTTGGAAAAATCTTCCTGTTAATATTGGCCATTGCAAGCAAAGTATAGCCATCATGATTTTAAAATCAGCAAAAAAAAAAGGTTTTTTATGGCTTTGTAACCCTTTAAATGAAAAAGAAAATGTAGATGACAATTCTGTATAAAGGTTGCATCACTTCTTGGGGATAGGAAAACTTTAAATAAAGCCTGAGAATTGGTTAAGCAGTGGTGGCCTGCTAAAGAAGGGCATATCACTTTTCACAGTGTATAACTTGCTTTTGGAGTGAATAATATTTGACAAAACTAAAATAAATTTTCTTCACATAAACCTGAACACTGCCACAGGTGGGCATGAAATCATAGAATATTTTTTTTTGAAGAATAATTAATGTGAATGCATTCTTGAAATGGGTATAACCTTTTGTAGTTTCATTGCCTTCTCCATCCACAGTAAGAAAATAGATACTTTTGATCAAAGTACTGATGAGGGGCTTGACGTTCACAGGTGATGAGCATCTGCACTTGTTTCTGATTTTATGAGGTTAAATTGCTCAGCAAATTTGAATGTCATGTACAAGGTTATTTTGGAACTGTAGTGTGGGACTGATCAACTCTCTCATGTTCGTTGTCAATCACAGCTACTGTAGGAACATCAGATTGGGATGCTTCACTTTAGTACTAAGTTGCTTCCAGTGTAAAAGGGTTGAGGCATCCCATGCTCCATAATTCTAGGATACAGTTCCTCTTATCATCCAAAAGTATATTTAAAGTATTTTTGATTCCTTTTTTCTATGCAAGAATAATGGAGGACAACTGCTAACACAGTTTATCACCTCAGTGTGTTTTTTCTAACTAATATTCTTTGAACCATTCCAAGTTTGATACTTAGTTATGGCTACTGCTTTTAAAGACCCAACTCTGCTGCCTTTTTCTATGCCTTAAATAGGCATAGAATGATGACCATATTGCCTGGTCATCAGAATTGTGGAGTATGAACTAGATAGTAATCTTCCTGTCATCATCAGAATGATATAGAAATAAATCATTTCTGTGCAGAGATATTCAAGCAGAAGTGCCTAATTAAGGTAGTTCAACAGCACTAAGATTCCACAAGATACAGCTAACATGATTTATGTAATATGAATTACTGCTTGTGTGCGCGAAATGAAAGATACCATTGAAACTGGACTGCTATTAGATTGCTTGGTCATTCTTTTTAATAAGAAACAGCCTTGAAAACAGTCTTTGACTGTTCCCATTTGGGGATTTTTCTGTTTACAAGGATTATTTTCAATATAAACGTTTTTGCATTAAAATAGTTATTCTTCAGTTTTATGAAGTTGTAATGGAGTTTCTTAAATGTAAACAATCTCTACAAGTTGACTTTTTTTGAAAGTGCATCAGGTTTTCCGAGGCAGAACAGTGCTTTGCAAAGATGAAAGAACAACTAGTGAAAGAAATAACTTTCAAGCATGTAAGGATTTTTTTCATTTATACTTACAAAAAAGCTCGAATTCAGCACTGCCTTGATTTAACTAGGGACCAACATGTAGAAAGACATGAGAATTTTTTGAGATGACTATATTTAGAAGAACAGAATAGAAAGAATACCTAAAAATGTTGTTGGGGTAATGAAGATATGGTTTACAATGAGAGAACAGTTTCTGCCTTCTTGGCCAAGGTTTTGGTTTTGCTTCTCAGGCTTTTTTTTTATTCTTTTTGTCTTGCTTGTCCTGTTCTCTGCCACCACCTCCCTTTCTGCTTCTCCTCGCCTTCAAATTTCATTCGTAGGAGATCTTATAGTTCAGGAAGTCTTTCACGTGAAATCATTTATAAGACAGTAGGAAGGTTTTCTCCAATTTAGGAGAAAGATTTGCATTAATTGCTTAAGAAAGAGTTCCTTTAAGGAAAAGCTAAGAAGCTATGTCAGATTTTGGCATGAAATTTTGGCATGAAGTTTTGCTACTGTTATGTAAGACATGGTAAAAGGGTAACTGTTGATAAATATGTTGTGAAAGAAACATAGCCTTATGAAACATTGTGATTATGGAAATAAGATCTTCTTCAAGGAACTGGGAAGGTACATCTTTACAGTAATACCTTACTGGGTCTTAAATAGAAAGTTATGTTGAAGCAGAATCATGACTACTGGAAAGGAAATACTTGTGTTTGTAACTAACCTCTGTCACAACTTGAGTATCATAAAGTACTAACAAAGTTACCTCTAGAACCTTTTGAATGTTATTTTACTTCCTGTAGCCAGGATTAATTCTGCTGACCTTTTCTTTGTGGATATTTCCTGAAGGAGTTTCCTGGTTAGGATATTTGTTCTTGGTCAGTAGTTTCCCAGTTAATGTATTTTGAATTTAGACTTATCTTTGCCTCCCATCTCAATTACCTTCCTGTAGCATGCTTAAAACCCTTCCTCTGCAGCTGTGTTGGGAGAGAAAATATATTAAGATCATTTGCAAGCAAATTCTTCAGTGTAAGGACATGAATCCATGAGCATTGTTTTGCAGAACCTCTAGGCAGACAATCTTGCTGAATCAGGCCAGCTTTTCCTATGATAGGCACCTTTTTTACTATTTTGGCAAAGATGGAAGATTTCCCTTCCCTTGAAGGGCGAACCTTTTGTGAATATAGAATGCCTTAGATGGGTACAACATTTTTCAAGCACTGTAAGGGAAACAAAATATATTGATGTAAGCACTTACATACTGATGGCTTTAGTAACTGCTCCAAAACCAAGTTTCATTCACTTTAAAAGATGGCGTTACCTCACTTCTGTGGTCACAAGTCCATTGATTATTCCTTGTTTCTCATCCTAACTGGTGTTTCAAAATATGAAGTATGTATGAGAATCCTAATGCACACTTGCTATATTAAAAACTATATGTATCAGTGGTCCTGAGTGCTATAGAAGCCTTTCATGTTTGAGGTAGTTTTAGTTTGTGGTTAACTTTTTGCAGACTACCAGGCGTCACTGTGTGTAACCTCAGTTTAACTTATCTAAAAGATTGTAGATCAATCAGTTTGGTTTCTGAAATAAAATACACAGATTTATTTACATTTATGAAATAATTAGCTACTTACCAAACTATTTTGTTTTTAACTGAAATAGATGTCTCCTGCCATGGTGGTTATTTAATTCTTTGAAGTGGTGTTCATCTTGGATGTAATGAATTGTAACTTAAGAGAAAAACTTGGTAAAAGTGGCATTCACTCATCTTAAAACTATGATGCAAGTACTACAGAAATTCAGATAGCATCGTGTTTCTGCAAGTGAATTTGAGTTGAGTTCTTGAATATAAGCATGAGAGGTAGAGGGTAAGAGTTGGGACCACAGCTTAAGTCAGATTATTAACAGGACTGATGTTTGTTATGGTTTTTCTGAGACTTCCTTTCTTCATCCATTTTGATTTTTTTTCCTTGTAACGCAACCTGTCAGTATGTGTTGCTGCTAACAGCATTTTCCTGACATGTCACATCTGTTTTGAAGCTTTCATATGCTTATTGGGACAAGCCCAGTTGCAGAGAACCACGAGAACGGTGTAATCTTCTAAAGAAAGTAAGAGGTCAAGGAAGTATGAACAGTGCAGTGGTAGTTGTCTTCACTGGACTAGTGTGGGAAAGGCAGTTCACGAACTTTTCTTTCAAAGCATGTTGTAAATTCTAGCAGGTAGTTCATAACATTCCAATGGTACAATGCTACTATGCTAGTTGATGCTAGACCTTTAAGGCTTTTATTCTTCTGCATTTTTATAGTATTGATGTGGTTCAAGATCAAATAATTGACTTCTATAACAACAAAGCTATGAAAACAATAAGTTAAAAATTCAGCTGAAAAATCAGAGCAAAGGGGGAAAATAACTGTTAATTGAAAGATACAGTAAAGGGCAATTTACTGGTTTTAATCTCATGGGAGTTATCCTGACTTGTTCAAACAGTCTAATCACAAGTGAGTTAGCAGGTCACGCCAAAGCAAGGGCCTTCAACATACAGGATCAACAGGAGTGTGTGAGAATAACTTCTGAAGTTTTTCAGACTGGACCATTTTTACTGCAAGTCTTGCTATTCCACACTGTGGGTTTTGTGCAAAAGCAAACATATTGTCAAGCCTGGACCTTTCATAGTGTCACTGAACAACCTTTTTCTGATAATCTGACAGAGGGTTGATGTAAGAGTTAAGAGCTCTGACTTTCTTGATCTGAAGTCTGCTGAAAGCCAGAGCGTGCTGATGTGCTTCTGTCTCAGCAGTGATAAACTCATCTTGTTAAATGAAAATATCAGCTTTAAGAAAGTCTTAACAATCACTGGAAAACACAAGATGTTTTAAACAACAAGCAAAAATGTATTTGGCAGATATAATATTAACATGACTTCTTAAGAAAAAGAGAAAATCTTTGTTAAAGTGACATACTTTTGAAACACCAAGTATTTTTTTTTGTTTCTTTTGCTCCATATTCGAGCTTCTCAAATAAAAACTGTTCTTAGAAGACTGATGTTGTGAAGTATTCTAAGTCTTCCAAAGATACTCCTGTATTTCTGTTTATGTTGAGGTGAAATAGTGGTCAAGTGTATGCCTTCAGCATTTATAATGTCTGAAATTGAGTGTTCAATTTAATTTGAAATTGTCACAAGTGAATCGTTTCAACCTGATGAATAGCCATAAGGCAATACAAAAAATAAGGGTGTTTGTAAATACAACCTGGTTATGTCAAATAAGTTTTTAATGTAGTACCTGTTTTGTACTAATTTACCATAGAATCATTCTTGCCCATAAAAGAAAAACTTAGTAATTGTGCAGTGCAGGCTTTCTGTCTGCGGGGATTTTTGTTCGCTTTTGACTTGTCTATTTTCTGTATCATGTTAAGGTCTGTGACCCATGAATTTATTGAATATATCAAAAACTGAAGAACTTTGACTGTTTGTGCAAGCTGTAAGATTTAAAACGTTTTGAATCCCTTAACCTCTACTTTGTTGCTTGTTGAGCAGCATTTGTAGCATGTTTTCATAAAATACATTCAGGTTTTCAGGCAAGAGGAAAGTGGGAGAGGGTGCATCCTCTGGGTTGCTACCCAAAATTAACACCACTTTAATGCAATATTCACGCTTACCCTTTCTCAATTTGTTCTTGTAGGTTAACTCTTGGAAGCTAATTATTAACTTGTAAACTTCATTGTCCTCTTTTACAGGCTTTGCTGTAGCCCAGTGTATAAATCAGCACAATCCATCACCACTTTCATCACCATCGCCTTCCAGTGGCAGTGGGAGCACAGGACGCTGTGATTCAGTGACTGCAAGCTCAACATCCACTCCTTCTGCTGCACAGAGCCCATCAGGTATTAAATCACAATTTTCAGCCTAGGCACTAATGGATGTAGAGTAGTTTATTGTAAAATCAAGTTACTATGTTATCGGATTAAAAACAGTAGGGCTTTGTTTTTAGATCACTTCATCATTCAGCTAAACTAGTTAAAATGTGGTGCAAATTTTAATTATCTCTTCGGCTTTCTGATAAATACTTGGCATCTTTCAGCGGTGATTTTAAGTACTGGTGAAATAATGTCCTGCGTGTCTGACTTGTCTCCTGTCACATACAATTTAAAATGTTGTTGGTTTGTTTTTTTAAACTCAAGTATTGCTTTGCATAAATTCGTCATGTAAACCGTTAGCTTTTCACCCTAGTGGATAAGTTGATTTCCACATGAGGCTTCTTTTTTGAGCTGGGTGACGTTTACTTTTGTATGTTTATCTGATACTTATGTTAATTTTTAACAATGGACCAAATACGAAATATCTGAAGATAGTTATTTAGGTTGCTAATATTGTATAGCTTTTGCAATACCACTCTTCTGGCTAACACCACCACATTTGAGGAGGCTGTTTCGTTGGTGCAGAAGAAGCTCCCAGGTGTTTGTGTTCGTCAGTTTATTTAGATAGTATACTTATACTGGGACTACTTGTTGGATTAGAATGCCTCCATTCCTCCTTTTTTTGTGTGATATTTGTAGAGAATCTTGTAATGGTGTTTATTCTTAGTGCAAATTATGTGTGAGGTAAAGCTTCAAGCTGGAGACTAAGCAAGAAATAAATCCTCGAGGGTGTGTACTGAAATGCTTTCATGCTAGAACTGACCTACTCTGCCTCATTTTGGTTGTAAAACTTTAGAGGTAACTTGATTCTCAAGGCCTTTTCAAACAGCCCCCTCATTTTAAAAGTCACTTCCAACGTTGATCACTTGATGAAGTGGTTGTACTGGTTCTCCCTTCTAAGACTTACCGTTTGCCTTTATTTGGAAGCCTCGTGTAGATCTAAACTTTTTTGCAGCCTTATAGGAAATGTTACAATCTTTGTTAGGCATTTAATGTTTTCTAAATTTCACTGAACAGTGTCAGGAGATCGATGTATGTTATATGCCCAGAGTAACTATCCCTGCAAGAGATATTGCTGGAAAGGGTTAAGCAAAGGCTGCTTGTGAAGTTCATGAACAATATGTAAAGCATTCTAGCACCCAGACTCTAGATTAAAAAGCCTCTATTACTGTGAGAGACTAACATATAGTCAAAATATTCATCCAATCTGTGTAATTCCAGAATAAAATTTGGAATGTTTTTCCATATGCAATCTGTTAAAAACTTTGGAAGGACCTCATTTTATTTTCTCTGTTGGTAAGTGATTGCTGTTATCCAGACGCTTGGTGGCATAGATAATATGTAGTGATTGCACAGAGAAGAGGCATCACTTGTCAAAAGTCTCAGTATGGATTGACATTACAAGAAAACATTTGTTTGACTATGTGTTTCTCCTCAGCAGTGTAGAAAGGTTCATCTGCAATGTCCTTTGCTGTATTTGAGTCTTCTGTGATCAGGAAGTGAAATGCAGCTACAAGTTCTTGGCAATAGTGGCTAGGAGAAAACTGTGGTAAAGGAAATAAAAAATATAAACTATTTTTGTCACTGTAAGCAACGTGATAGTTGACAGAGATACCAAGCAAGACTATACTACGTGTTTCAAACTCAGATCTTTCAAGTGCATATAATCTGACTTCTGTGAAAAACTGTGTAGATCCAGAGCACAGATGAGGAATTCCTCATCTATCATAAAATGATAGTGACTTTTTGAAGAATAATCGTAGACTGTAGTTAACAAAATTAAAATCTACTTACACAGTATGTTGGCATTTGTATAACATAAAATTCTGTTGATTTTTCCTGAAATTTAAAAATCCTGATGACAGGAGGCTGCTTATTGGTTTCAAAGAAAAAGAAAAAGACCCAAACAAAAAACCCCCAAACAAATTTTCCCCACTCCTCAAAAAAAAACCAAAACCACACAAACAGAAAAACCAACCAAACAAAAAAAAAAACACAACAAAAAACAGAGGAAAGGATTTTTTTAATGCCTGGTTTCAGTCTGCACTTTACCAGTTAGGTTACATAACTGTCCACACTTAGTATGACTTTGTGTGGCTTAATCATAAAGTGTGTTCAAAATGCAGGAAATGTCATGCAGGAAAACATTCTTTGAGTGAGTTTTGGTTCTTTGCACAGGATCTAGGTGCGCTGATGTAGATGCTTTAGCAAATCTAGTTGTAAGGATACAGTTCTGTCCCCTACCACTATAGGCATAGTAACCTTCAGCAAAGTCAGTGGAAATGAACATGAGAATCTGCGTCAGCTACTTCAGTCCCAAGTCAGCAGCTTGTGTTAACCTGCTGCAGGAATGACTCTTGAGCTCAACTGCTGGATTTTGTTCTGGTAACTCTGCTCAGAGAGCATGACAAAGAGGAAGACAGTGGCTGTGTGTGCATGAGCAGATAATTCGGTGCAATAGGACAATGAACGCTTGGTACTGCAGTGCGTGCATCTCATCAGCCTGTGGCTTAGGGATTTTGCTGTGGACCGTGTTTATCCTGACCTGTAGGACCAAGCATCCCTGCCACGTACGTGCTAGTCTGAAGATCTAATTATTAGTTCAGGTGTACGTTGCTATTAACATTTGAGGTATGTTTGGTCTATAGTTGCAGCATATCTTAAAGTTTGGTCTCCTTGTGAAAGAATCTTATTAATGCACAGAAACTGTTCCTACAGTCAGACTAAAACAGGAAGTGTGCATAATTCTTCAAAGCTGCTCTATTGGTCTAAATCAAACTGCTTATGTAGTCGCAGCCCATAATGAAGAAGTAATGTTTTAAATAGTTACAGCTGAGTGGCTGATGGTGTCTCACGGTCTATAGTGTAGACTAGAGAGGATTCTGAAATCCGTGGAGCTGAGTCTTTAGCGGGTGGGGGTGTGGGGAGGGTTTTCTCCAACCCAGGGAGCTGCGTTGAGGCTTTTTGCTAATCTTCAGTGTCAGATCAATACTATTGTCTATTCCTGGAAACATTGTTTCTGCATTAATTGATTTGACTGGTTTACTGCAAGTTTGTAATGAATGTTCTCCCTTTTATAGTATTTATATGTAATTGTGATCTATACTGGAAACTGTTGCCAGGACCATGAAAGAGATTGTCTGGTTGGTATGTCCAGGTAGCTGTTTCGTAGGCTTGTGCATGAACAGAAACACGCTGCTGAAGTAGCAATAATGTCTCCACCACTGCCTGTGTTATATCAGGTCTTACTGACCACTCAGCTGAATGGCAGAAACAATTGTTGATATTTATCCACTTCAATGTAAAACAAGGTGATTTTCCCTTAACCAGTTGAGGACAGTTGAAACTAAAATGCCTTACTCTGCTGTGAAGCAAAAGAGAGGAGGCTTGCATGATGTGAAGTGGCTCCTTCAAGGAGGAAGTAACAAGTAGCTGATGAAAAGCAAACAGATACCATGATCTGTTTTATGCTCCAAGGTAGCACGTGAATGCTGCCACTATCTGTCACATTTGAATCTCCCTTCTCATTTCCCATTCCATTTTAAACACACTTACATGAGCACACATACATGCTCTCTGTCCCTCCCTCCTTCCCTGCTCCCTTGTTTGTTCTGGTAACTGCTTAGGTTGTTGACCATGAACGTGCTGGGTCGCTCAGGATCTTCAGTCAAGAAGACCAGACAAGATAAAGGGGAAATGTGTATCTGGACTTCAAGAAAACTATCTCAACTATCTTCCTTAAGAGCAACATCTTAAACCATGACAGCTGTTTCTACTGTAAACTTGTGATTATAGTGTCCTAAGCTACTGTCTATCGACAGATTTAAACTGTTCAGAGTTTGATATGTTTGAGATGGTACTTGTAACCTTCACAAAGTTGTTTCAAGAAATCAAATTTGGAATATACACACTGACTTTTACATAAAATAGTGATAGATGAGAACAAGATAAAGACAAGTTGCGTAATTGTTAGTTAGAGAAAACAATGTTCTAAGATACAGTACGTATTAACGGTTAAACAGTAAAAGAACTTTCAAAAATGTAGTTTTACTTCGATGTTTTGTAAAAATGCTTTACTTGCTATCACTCCTACCTGCATCAGACAATCACACAGTATCTTAATGTGAGGAGGGAGGTTAACTGAACACAAAATCATACGACTGCTGTGCATGTTTCAGTCATTGTAAGAGTTGCATTAACTGCTTTGTCATGAGTAAAACTCTTATGATTCCTGAGTTTATCAGCTATTCTACCTAATAATTGTCACAGTACTTCATGGCACAGATATTTTAAAGCCTAGCAGCTCCCCCATTTGCAGTATTTGGAAATTAAGCTTAGTCCTTTACAAGATCTCCGTTCCATAAAATTGAAAAAGCAGAAGTCATCTCTTAAAGGAGAATCCCTAGCAAGACAGAAAAAGCAGTATCAGGTTCTGCAAATGCTGCTCTCAGGTTGTTTTTTTTTCTTTGTATTTAGATGATTTTTTTTTTTAAATTAACATGTCCCTTTGAAGTGTTGCTATGCATAAGATAAAGTCTACCTCTTGCTAGACAGATTTTAATCATAAAGCTTCTAAGCTTAGAATATTGTCTCTCCTTGACTACACTTGCTGGAACCGTGCACTTCTGTAAAGGGCTTAGTTTTATATATGCCAAGGATTAAGATAAAGAAGCTCTCTTACTGTAAGTTAGCAGTCTTCCAGAATTATGTATGTGTAATGTCATCTACACTGTATTTTGTCACTTAAGTTGTCTTAAGCTTTGAAATGCAATTGGCTTCAGTACTTAAGAAAATGTTTATGTTGGAGCAATGGATATTGAGGACTTCAGAAGGCATTGATCTTCTGTGCCACTTAGGCTGTATTTCACACTTCTGGCAGATATTGATGGTAAAAGGTCTAAAATAAGTACAAAGAGCTGTCCCTTGTTGCAGAGAATATATTGGATTCCAGTGTGTAAAATAAGATT